CCCATCCCATACAGGCCCCTGGTTGGCTCAGTGACCACTGTGACAGGTCCCCTCCAGGCTCACCACCATCACTCTCCTCTTCCTCAGCCCTGGCTACCCCCACACCCAACACTTGGAAAGAGAAGGCAATCTGAGAAGGCGTGGGGCTCTGTAGGGGTGGGAGAGACATCTCAGGACAGAGAATGGAAAAAGACAGAGCTGGGGGGGAATCCTAGAGAACATTTAGTCCAACCCTTTCATTTTACAGATGGGGAAACTGAGGTGAATTCAGGGAAGGCGGCCTGTCTGACACTCCATTGGGTTGCCTGCATGGCAGAGCAGAGACTTGAACTGGGGTCCTCTGTCTCAATGCCACCACTGCTGCCTGGAGATAAAGACCCTTGGCTATTGAAAGGACAGAGGCTCAGAAGGAGAACCTGCCTGGGTTATATCTAAGACACTAGGTTGGGGGCTGGGGATGAAGAAGTAACAGAGCATAGTCCCTGCCCTCAAGGGGCTTACAGAATGGGGGAGGGGGACACGATGGCATGTACAGAAGTGGGTGGGCCGCAGGATAAGGTGTGAGGGGGCACTACAGGAGACCTTGAGGACAGCCAGGGCGTTCAGCAGCTACACTGGAGGGAAGCGGAGAGTAGGGAAAAGGCTGATCCAGATATGGGGTGTTGCCAATCCTGGAGGCATGGGAAGGCCCCGGCCTGTCTCTATAGGAGGTGACCTGGATCCACTCTGGGCCTGGAGCCAGGCTCCAGAGACACGCAAAGCATTCCCAATGCAGTCATGAAGGCTTCCCTTATGTTCTTGGGGGGAGTCCCAAAGATTGCCGTCCATGGGCCACTCCCTCTCCCAGGGCCAAGGTTATGATAAAAACTCACTCGGGCCTCCTCCAAAGCTGAGAGGCACTGGGATGTCTAGGGTTCTGAGGGAGAATTCCAGCTGGGAGTAGAGGCATGTTGTCCAGACTGGCCATCCAGCCTCTACTTGGAGCCCATTACCTACTGAGGCGGTACTTTAGACTTTTGGATGCTCTCCCTGTGAGGAAGTTTTTTTTCCTTTATGCCCATCCTGAATTTGCCTCTCTGTACCTTCCCCCTTCTCACGTTTTTCCAAGGAACCAAGCAGAATGAGTCCATAAAAAATGTCTTTGTACTTCAAGGATCTCCAATGTTGCCTGCATGAGTACTCTCTCTGTGGACTCAGATTTTGACCAGTCTATGATTTAGGAAAACCTCTCTGAAAGTTGTTATAGTTGAGGGGGAAACCCTACCTTTAGCTCATCTCTGCATGAATTTATGCAAACTTAGCTAGGCTGAGCCTTGCAGAACAGACACAGAGTGCACTATGAAGCCCTTACTGGAAACCTTCCCTGCCCTGCCCTAGAATCCCACCATGCCACGTGGAGAGGTGCAGCCAGGAGAATGGTGAAGGGGTGGCCCACTCCCTTTTGGCCATCCACTGAGTCATCAGTCAAGTAGGGGACCCTCAGCCATCTCAGGAGAGCCAGGCACGGACAGTCAGCCACCATCCTCAAAGCCGAGAAGACCAGATCTGAGCCCTTGTTCCACTCAAGACCGATACCAATGGTTATTTAAATAAATAATATCAATTACTATTAATGGTAATACTTTAAACTTCCCAGGGTGTGCTTACTTCTCAATAACTTTGTGAGATAGCAACAAAAGGTCTTATTATCCCTATTTTACTGACGAGGAAACTGAGTTTCCAAGGTGAAGGGATTTGCCTAGGATCACAGAGCTGAGCCGTAGAGCTAGAACTCGAACCCAGGTCTTCTGCCTACAAACTGGAGGCTCTTTCCTTGTGCCAACAGCAGGAGATGAGAAAACAGACCCAGGGGCGTCCTGTAACTTTAAATCTGACCAGCTTTTCATTCTCTCGTAATCGATAAAGGGCAGATTACAAAATCCTTAGCCGAGTGCTGAAACATCTCCATATCCGGGCTCCTTTCCTGTCCAGTCTTATTTCACTCTTTTCCAATGCACACACTCCATATTCCCAGTAAACTGACCTGTGGGCTGCTCTTCCCGACATTTGGCCGGCAGTTCCTTCAGCCAAGGAAAACGGGCTAATTAAACTTCAAGGGACAGGGAACAAAATGGCCAGTCAGGAGATGTAAGAGCAAATACAAGGAGAGATAGGAGAGGATGCCTGCCAGCCCCATGACCTGCATCCTGGACTCCTCCAGGAACTGGCAGGGCTAGTTTCTGAGCCCCTGCCAGCGACCTATAAAAGATATTGGAGAAAAGCACCATCAGATTGGAGCAAGGCCAGTGTTTTCTCAGTTTTCAATAAAAAGAAGAGATTGGAGTCTGCAGAAGATGGGCCAGCGGGATTGACGATTCTAGAATGCATCATTAAAGGGATGGTTGGTGAGCCTCGCTAAAGCAGTGTTTGGAAAGAGCGAGCCTGGGGCTTCATCCACACTGGTTTCCACCTGACCTGGGATCTCATGAAACAGTAGGCATTAGAGGTCTTTGAGCTGCATCCTGAATGGAAAACTGGCCCCCCAGCCCCAGGCAGTCGGGAAGGAAGCCAGGGACCCGAGCATTGGAGGAGGAGGTGACCTGGGGACCTTCTGAAGGAGCTCCCAAGCTTTACTTTGGAGGGTGGACAGTTTCAAGGTTGGCCATCGGATTGTGCCTCCACCCAGCTCCTCCTCCAACACCTCCTGGGGGTGAGGGGCTGACCCTGGGATCTTAGCCCCGGGCTGAGTGGGGCTGAGAGCCTAGCACAGTCTTTCTGGCATGCTGCTGGCTGTCGTCCCTCTGAAGTCCATTTAACGCCGTCTCCAGGAATACTTGCTCTGCAGGAGCAGTCAAAGCATGCGTAAATATTTGCTGCCCATTGTATACAGCCTGGGGGCTGGTATTTTCCTTGGCAAGCCCTTAAAGCGAACGTGGCTTAGACAGGGAGCCGGGGGCGCCTTTAATTAAACAGGTCTCCAAGGAGGCAGGAGGCAAGTTACTTTGGTGCCTGGGGCAGATTCCAAGGCGTTCGGCTGTGGTTTCTGTAGATGGTCTATTCTAGGAAATTCCTGTGTCTGTAGCCAATGGCTGATTGATGTAGTTCTACCCAGAGCAAGGCCAGGGGCACGGGTTCGGTCCAGTCCAGGCCTGGTTTTCTCCTGTCCCTCAGCCTCATCCCAGCCCCAGGCATCCCCCAGATATTTCCTGGTGCTCCATGGGATGACTGGACCCAACCATACGTACGGATGCTTTAGGGTGCCTGTGAATACTAATGATGATAGAGACAGCTCTGTAGAGCCCATTGAGGGCTGGGTTTAGGGTCGGGGAGATCTGGATTCTACTCCTAACTCTGGCATATACTGTCTGTCTGCTTCGGAGCGAGGTAGTCAAGCCTCAGGGTTGTGGTTGAATTGCAGAGAAAGTGCTGATCTTCCTTTGAGGCAAACTTTCCTGAGAGCTCCTAGGGACAGAAGATAGCTCGCTTTTGCCTTCCTATCACCCTCGCCTAGTACAATTCCTGGTGCCCAGTGCTTTTAAAATATCTGCTTCCTTAATTAATGAAAAAATGGAAGTCATAGCCAGATGACATGTGCACATTTGCAATGTCCCTCTGGGTCCCAAGCTTTTGTGACAAATCAATGGGGCTGCTGATGGTGGTGGTGGTGGTGGTGGTATTAATAACAACAAGAATAAGATCTTTAAAAAGGTGCTAATCGTCCTAGGGAGATAGAATTTTCTTATTGTAGAGTTCTCTCTGCCAGTAAAATCACTGGTCCTGTCCCTAGCCCTATCCCCAACAGCAACAATAATAACAACTCCCAATTCTTTACCACCTACAAAACAATTGAGACAACAGTGTTATGAGGGAGGTAATGGAGTCATTGTCCTCATTTGACAGATTAGGAAACCGAGGGGTAAGAGGCTTGCCAACGTTGATACATTTCTCCCCACAGAAGAAAACATTAGTTTATATTAGTGAAAACTGTGTGAGGGAGGAAGGATTAGGGCAGAACCAAGAGAGTGGGGAGGAGGAACAGAGAGGCAGAGCTAGGCTGGATGTTAGGGAAAGGGACTAAGAATGAGCCGTCCAAAATGGACCTCTGCAATAGGTAGTGAGCTCCTCGTCCCTGGACGTCATCGAGTGACTGATAACCTGTTTCCTGGAGAATTCTTATTTAGCTCTGAGTGGACCTAGAGGCCTCTGATTTTTGCTGACTTTTTTTTATCTTTTGGTGAGGCAATTGGGATTAAGTGACTTGCCCAGGGTCACACAGTTGTAAGTGTCAAGTGTCTGGTGTGAGGCCATATTTGAACTCAGGTCCTCCAGACTCCAGGCCCAGTGCTCTATCCACTGCACCACCTAGCTGCCCCTAATGCTGACTTTTTTGATTGTGCCTTCACTGAGGTAGTCCTTCGATACCTCCTTGGGTGGTAAAGCCCATCCTGGTACCAGGAAGTCTTAACAAGTTGGGGAAGCCCAGGGGTGGAGGACCAGCTGGGCTCATTGATTAATCATTCAGTCAGTCAAGTATTTATTAAATGCCTACTATGTGCCAGCCCTGAGCTAGGCACTAGACAGACCTCAGCAGCTCACATTCTAATTCCAATATGTACATGTGTCAGTATATACCAAATCACATAAAAGCCCGGTCATTTGATCAGGGAGCTAGCAGCTGGGGGATCAGGAGAGGCCTCCTGTAGGACACAGAGGAGGAGGGAGAAGATTCTAGAGATGGGGGATGGATTCCTTCATACAGGAAAGGCCTGTGAGCTGTATCAGTCATGTGACCTTGGGCCTTGGTTTCCTCCTATGTAAAATGAGAGGGTCTCCGAGGAGCCTGCCAGATCTTGACCTATGATCCTGTCACCATGCCTAGCACACAGTCAGTGCTTGGTACATGTGTATTGACTATCACTTGCTTCCCGATGCAGCATCTGGAGGATGGAGAACTTGGGGAGAGGCCACTGATGCTGGAAAGGGATGGAGACCTCAGATTCTCTTCTCTCTTGCTGTTTCAGGTCATTTCCTGGGGAACAACACTGTGATTGACGTCCTGCGCCAGGCTGGGTTCGAGGTGGAGCACACCCCACCAGGGAAAGTTGTGCACAGGTGAGATGCCTTTGTCTTCTCTGCCTGGGATTCCCCCGGCTCCTAGTGCTGACTGCCCTCCCGTGAGCTCTGGCCAGCCCGTGAGATGGAGGATGGTAAGAGCCGGCCCTCAATGCTGGCTGATCCTGCTCTGTGTCTGCTGTGATGGAAGGCCTGGGGAGCAGAGGGACAGCAGCTGCCAGAACCTCAGTGTTTAGACCAACAGTGACCTCCCACCTTAGCCACTGGTCTCCTGATCGTGAGGTCCTTATCCGCTGACCATTGGGAGGAACTGCCCTGTCCACATCTTGACATTCTTGAAAGAAATGAAAGCCAGAGACAGAAAGAATTTGCAGTTCAGCGAAAGGAAGGATCCAGGTCATCCGTAGAAAAGCAAGGGAAGGAATGAGTGGACTTGGGTTCACCATTTGCCCAAAGACGATAGGAAATATCCCTTCCTGGGGCCTTTGGTCCTCTCGTATCAAAGCACTGGCTCAAGTCAGCCAGTGGCCAGAAGGCCCCCGTTGGGGGCCTGTGCTCTGCACTGCTGTCCAGAGAACGGCCCTGGCCCATTGGGCAGAGCCCAGACGGGAGGACATGGACAGGAGCCAGAGAAGGGGAAGGCGCCAGAGGGGTGGACTTTGAGATTCAGTCGGTCATTAATTAAGCTTTTATGAAATGCCTTCTATGTCCCAGGCACTGGGCTAGGAGCACTGGACACAGACAGAAGTGGAAAAAAAAACCCCAGCCCTTTCTCCAAGAAGTATTTACAGGTGAGGACCCTCCCTCTCAGAGAGGTTGAGTGACTGGCCCGTGGTCACACAGCCAGTAAGAGTCGGACACAGAATGTGAACCCAGGTGTCCAGTCTAGACTCCAAGATGTTATGCCTTCTGACAAAAAGGAAATTCCAGGGGCTCACGGGTAAATGACTTGACCAGCAACACACAGTAAGTCACTTCCAGAACTAGGACTTCAACTCAATTCGCCATAATAAATACTTGTTGATTGATTAATTCAACTCAGTAAGCACTTAAGTGAGTGAATGGAGGAAAAATCATTTATTAATTATTAACCCATTATTATGTGCCAGACACTGTACTAAGTCCCGGGGATACAATACAAGCAGGAAAGACAGAATGTAAGACGAGAGCTTTTATTCTAAATAGAAGAAGAGAACACATGAAGGGGAGTTAGGGTTGGAAGGTGGGGTGGCCGGGTGAGGGGAGGGGCAGCCTGGTTTGGAACAGTCTGGACAGCGATCTATGGGCCTGGCTGAGGCAAGCCGGGGCGAGGGCTCAGCTCTCAGAGCCCAGGGTCTGATAGTCCATGATGTAACAGTTCTGGCGGGAGGGGGAGGCTGGCGTGGGGGCAGTGCAGCTTGGAGCTAGTCAGGAAGGACTCCTGAGCTAAGTGCTGAGGGTATGAAGACAAATAAGAAACTATCCCTGCCCTACCAGGTGGAGGATAAGTACATGAATGTACAAAGAATTACAAGTCATTTCAAGAGAGAGACAGAGGGAACTAAGAACTGAGAGGGATGAAGGAAGGCCCCCCCTGCCCCCATAGGAGGGGGCAGCTGGGTTGAACCTCCCGGGGAAACAGGCATTCTAAGAAATGGAGCTGGAGATGGGCCGTGTTCCAGGCAAGGATGGCAGGCCAAGGAGACAGGAGAGTGTCTATGGGGAACAGCCCTATATCCCCCCTACCCATTAAACACTGGAAGGAGATTTCAGATCACAACTGTCAGCCTTCAGTGCATGGAGCAGGTCAGTCAGTCAATCAGCAAACATATATCGACCGCACCGGTTGATGGGTTGATCCTCTATAACCTGTCGTAAAGGCCATCTGCTAAGACTCGTCTCCTCTTCTTCCCACCTATGCCTTTACAAACAATGTTCTATGTTGGTTCTGAAGGATTAAGGTTACTGACCATGGATGGGGCCAGTGGTAAGAACAACGAAGGTTTTGTGGAGGAGGTAGCTTTTTTTTTTTTTTTTGGCTAGCAGTGGGGTTAAGTGACTTGCCCAAGGTCACACAGCTAGTAAGTGTTAAGTGTCTGAGGCCGGATTTGAACTCAGGTCCTCCTGACTTCAGGGCTGGTGCTCTATCCACTGTGCCACCTAGCTGCCCCCAGAGGTAGCTTTTAAGTCTGGTTTTTAAAATAATGGTAAGAATTCAGCACACAGTAGGGGGGTCGTAGGAGGACAATCAGACACAGGGAACAGTGTGGCCAAAGGCCCGGCGATAGGAAACCAAATGGCATACTGTTTGGCTGGACCTTAGAGTAGGTGGGGAGAAGTTGTGTGTGTCTGGAACCAGACCATGGAGGGCCTTGAATGCCAGGGAAGGGGATAATGGGAATCCACAAGGGGTTTCTGAGCAGAAGCACGACTGGCACAGGTGAATTCAGCCTAGCAGTGGATGAAGGATGGATCGGACAGGAGAGAGTAGAGACAGACTCAGCTGGCAGGAGGAGGGGCTGGGGTCCTTGCTAGTGGTGATGAGGGCCTGTAGTCAGGGGTAGTGGGAGGGAAGGAGGGGATTGTGCTAGAAGAAACTCTAACTATCCAGGGTGTTGTGAGAACAGTACTTTGTAGCGTCCCCAGGAGGGGAGTTGTTAACTTGTCGAGAGGATGCTAGTGTTTGCAAACTTGTTTTCTCTCAGTCACTCAGCAAGCATGTATTAAGCACCTACTGGGTGCCAGGGCTACAAAGACAGGAGTGAAATAATCTCTGCCCTCAAGGAGTTTATACTCAGAGGGCAATATACCATCACCCCTGTTTGACAGATGCAGCCCAGAGAGGTTAGAATACTTGAGCAGGGTCACCCAGCCCAGTAATTAGCACAGCCTAGATTTCAAACCTGGCCTCCTCTGACTCGTGCTCCCAGTGGGAAGAGGGCTGGATGTGGTGTTGGAGGACCTGAGTTCAAATGCTCCCTCTGTGACATACTGTGTGACCTTGGACAATTTGCCTCCCTCCTCTGAGCCTCGGTTTCTTTATCTGTAAAATGATGGAGTGGGACTAAATGGTTTCTAAAGTTCCTTTAAGCTCTAAATCTGTGGTCCTCCATTGCTCCAGTTCCCCCACCCCCATTTTCCACACTCCCCAATTCACAGACACCCCCTGTCCTCGGAACGGTTTTCAAAGGGGCATTCGCAGGGAGGGGCAGGGCCGGAGGAGTCACTGGCTCCAGAGTCTTCTCTGCCCTTCCCCCTCCCCTGGAAATTCTCTTTGTCCCTATTCCTGGAGCACCGTCCCCCCACCCTATAACAGCCAGGCTGCGGTCCGAGGCCCTCTCTCCTCCTAGGAGATTCCTCTCCCCCAATGGCCCGGCAGGGGCCAGGCCCCCCACAGTGCTCAGGCCCAAGCCTGGAATGCAAAGTCAGTAATAGGCTGCATTCTGCCGGGGAGCGGAGGGGCTGGGAGGGATTCTGGGAAGCCCTGGAACAATGCAGGGCTATCGGTGGGCACAGGTGTTATTGAGCTGCTCCTTTTGTCCAGAAGTTTTGAATTAGGGCCCCAGCAGCTGCCCGCCATCGCCGGCCTTGGCTGGCAAAGCCTGGGGGGCCGGAGATGGGAAGGAAGAATTCATACTCCCTTCCTCTTTTAAAAAGAGAGAAGGACTACTAGGGCAGGGGGAGGTCAGGAACTGAGACTCTGTGAGGAGGAGCCCAGAACAACCCTCCTGGGGCTTTCAGGTTAGACTTAGAGATAGAATAGATCTTCAAGATGTCCGTCCCTGCCCAACACCTTCATTTTTCCAAGGAAGAAACTGAGGCACAGAGAGGCATAATTTTTCTCTGGTCACACAGGTGTTAAGCCGTCTTGGGGTCTTGCAAGCTCAGTATGAGCCTGCCAGCAGTGGTGACCAAGACAGCTAAGGGGACCCTGGGCTGCACTGATCATCATTGTGGGGTGGGGGGTCCTGGACCAGGGCCAAAGGCTGCCTTGCTTAGGACACAGCTGGAGACACAGGTGCAGCTCCCGGCGTCCCACTTTAGAGATAACCTGGGAGGGGACCTTCTCTATCACTGGGTCTGATTCCCTCACTTTTACAACTCGATTGGGGAAACTGAGGCACAGAGAGGAAAAAGATTTGGATAGGTCATAAAATAACTCAGGGGTGGAGCTGGGGAGAAAGCCCGTGACTCCATTTCCCAGGCAGGGTTCTTCCCATCGTGTGTGTCTCAGCTGCCTCCCCTGTCTCTATCTCTGTGCCTCTGCATGTCTTTGCATGTCCCTGTCTGACTATTCTGTATCTGTGTCTTATTGATGTGTGTGCCTGTTCTCTTTGGCTCCATCTCTCACCTTCTGTCTCAGTCTTCTTCTTTCAGTCCCTCTCGGTCCCCCCTCCCCATGCATGTATACACACATGCATGCGTGCACACACACACACGTGCATACACATGCACAGGTTGCAGAGGAAATTCCCAGACTGGATAGAAGCTTAGATGAAACCCCCTCAGAAGTCCTGTGCAGATCTGATTCTGTATTTCATCCTTCTTCTTATTCTTAGAAACCACACGCCCTGCTTTGGGCCTCAGTTTCCTCACCTGTAGAATGAGGGGTGTCCCCTCTAACTCTTGAGTTCTGAGCCTCCATGGCTTCCAGGCTCCTCACAGAAGTTTCTACCGAGCACGGACCCCACCTCTTCCTCTCGTGATCTCTCCCAGCACGTGTCCAGTGAACTGGACTTGCCTCGGGCCGGGGATGCAGGAGGAAGATGCTGGCCATGAGTCCTGGGTCAGTCCTGGGCCCGCCTGGCCTCCTCTGCCTGGCTGGAACGCTGGCTCTCTGCTGGGGGAGAAGAGAATAGGGCCAAACAACTGAGCCTTCCTCATCCCCTGGAGCTGGAGAAACTGTGGGAGTGAGCTAGCCACCAAGGGCTGGAGAGCAAGAGCCAGCCTCCAGCAAGGAGTGAGCAGCAGCAAAGTACAGTGGAAGGGGCTCAAACCCTGTCTCCATGGTTCCAGCTCCCTCCCAGCCCTGACACTCCCTGTTCTAAGGTCCTTCCCAG